GAGGCTGAACTCCGGCCTGTGTTTGCACAGCGCAACCCTGGGCCCCGGCCCTGGCCTGCGAATGTAGGACGCGGGGGCCCGCGCGGGGAGGAGGATGGGGGCGGAAGGGAAGTCTCGAGACGCTCTCCGTGGGGTGTCGGGTGGGCAGTGTGTGAGTGCCCATGGAGACTCCCCAACGCGGTGAGGCCGACCGACTGTCGCTAACCCGCGAGGGCCACTAGCCTGTCCTCGCAGGAGGAAGCAGTTTTGCAAGATGGGGAGAATTGAGAGAGGGCAGGGCAGGGCAGGGACCCCAGTGGGTGGGGTACTGGCATCAGAACCAGAACGGGCCCCCTTGTGATTCGATTGCTTAGGGGACCTGGGTTCTCAGGAGGGCCAGTCCGAGGACATCTGGCGTTCTAAGTGATAAGGGCCTTGGGACCCAAACCCAGTTCACAAGAAAAAGGGCTCCTTACCCCACTTTCAGGCAAGCCTAGGAGCTGGAGGGAGCCCGGCGTCAGGACCCCTTACAGGAGCCAGAGTGGGGAGTGGGTCCCAAGGTCCAGGACCTCTGGGCCACCTGGTTCCTTTGGAAAATGAGCAGTAAGAATTCTGAAAAAGCTGACAGCAGACTCTAGCCCTCCCAGCCCAGGGTCCAGACTTCAGGGAACACTCAGGACCACCCTGTGGGCTGACAGCTACCTACCTCAACCAAACTGCTGCAAGCTGACCCCATCCTTGCTGGCCAAGCAGATACCACACCCAGTACTCAGCCCCTAGTCCTCTCCCAGGTCCTCTCCCAGGATGTGCCCCTCCACCTCCCAGGAGGCCACCGTAGTATATTCATCCCTAATCTATTAACTAGCTTATCAATCAGTGACTTCATGGGTTGAGATGGAGGGGCCTGTGCCCCTTGGCTCCCTTCCTAGGTGGGGTTCGGATCGCATGTGTCTTCCCAACACCTGTGGAAAAGAACTGGTGGGGCAGGATTGGGTCTGGGAGGACAGGGAGGAGGGTGGCTGGTGGGCTGGGAGGCTCTGAAAAGCTGCAGGCCCCCTCCCAGAGCAAAGTCCACAGCCCCTCCCTGGCCCCAGCTGTCCAGGTGGACCCTGCCCCTCACGGCCAGTTGCCTCCTGCTATCCTTCTGTTAGGGTGGTTTCCTCTTAGCAACAGGGCCTGGAGGCCTGTGCCAGGTAGATGGTGTCTTTTTGCACCCCTCTACCTGGTCCATTCTGTCTGTCTGAGAGTCTCACCACCCGTTGCATCTCCTCAGCTGTGCGGCTTCTGGATGGGCGTGGCCTCACCTTTGGTGCTGCATCCTGGGCTGTGACTGAGACCCTTGTAGACCAGTATTCCTGTAGGAGAGAGCTGGGGGCTCTTATCCCTCCCTCTCCTGCCACCCCCCAGTAACAGGTCTGGGGGTAGGGTGGGCCCTAAGTTGTTTCCCCTAAGTTGTTTGTAGAACCCTTCCTACAAACCCAGACAATCCGACTTTGTTCTACGGGGTCGCCATACGCTGGAATTGACTGAGCAGAGTGGGTGCGAGATTTTTGCTCGGCATGGCTTCAAGCAACAGAAATAGAGTCTCACGTTCTGGAAGCCAGCAATCGCAAGCAAGGTGTTGAGCAAGGTGTCCCTGAGAGGTCCCTGTTGAAGATCCTGCCCCACTGCCTCTGGCCTCTGGTGGCTGCAGGCTGCCTTGGCCTGTGGCCCACTATCCCTCCCATCTTTGCCTCCTTCCTCCTCTGGCCTCCTCCACTCGGTGCCCTTTATGAGGGCACTTGGCCTTGGATGAAGAGCCCCTGAGCCACACAAACAGGTAAGCACTTAACTACTAGCTGGGTGTTTGGAGGTTCCAGTTCACCCAGTGGTGCCTGGTGACCCGGCTCCCCAAACCAGCCTTTGGAAACACTGTGGAGAGCAGTTCTACTTTGAGAAGTATGGGGGTGCTATGGGTGGCAGTCGACTTGGGCCACTGAGTTGGTTTCTGAGTCCACACTGACTTCATAGCACCCCCCTGTGGGTTCCGAAACTTAACTGTTTATAGGAATAGAAAGCCCAGCCTTTCACTCACAGAGCCACTGGTGGTTTTGAACTGCCGACCAGGTGTATTGACAGCCCAACGCGTAGCCACTGGGCCACCAGGGCTCCCTTGGTTTGGGTTAGTGGATTTCAAGTCCATCGAGTAGCCTGGGATGGTCTTCTCTCATCTGCAAAGACCCTCTTTCCCACTCAGGTCAGATTTCTCAGTGCTGAAGGTGTGGGTGGGACCCTGATTGGTGTAGTGGGTTACCCACTGGTAGTTCAAAACTGCCAGCTACCCTGAGGGAGAAAGCAGAGGCTGTCTACTCACATCGAGAGTGACTGTCTCAGACACATGGGTGCCGCCACGTTCCCCCTTGCCCTACAGAGTCACTAAAGGGAAGTATAGTGGTGACAAGTTGGGCTGCCATCTGGATGGTCGGCAGTTGGAAACCACCAGCAGCTCGGCAGGAGAAAGACTGCGCTTTCTACTCCCACACGCAAACGACAGTGTCGGAAACCCACAGGGGCTCACTGTGAATAGGAAATGACTCCTTAGCAGTCAGCTTGGCTTTCTGCGTTTAGCATTACTGAAGAGTTAACCCTGGTGGCCCCCTATGTTAGGCACTGGGCTGGAACTCACAGCAGTAGTTCAAAACCACTCACAGCTCCGAGGGAGAGAGAGGAGGCTGCCTGCTCTTGTGAAGGCTCATAGCCGTGGGAAAGCAAAGAGGGAGCTCTCCTGCCCCACAGGGCCACCGTGGGGTCAAATTGTTGGCAGCGAGTTTGGAGGTAAGGGTGGGTACAGTGAACCCTCGCCACTTCGCGCTTCCGCGGCTTCACTCTATCGCAGTTTTTGCTTAACAGCGCATGCTCTGTCATTACTGCCACTGATTGGCTCATACTGTACACGCTTGATGCCATAAATAATTATATAATATAATAAATGATAATTGTAACGTCCAAAATGTTTTACTGTATTTTCCCTTTTTCATTTAATAAATTGGGTAATACGAGTGTAATGGTGACTAAAGGGTGTTTTTTTATGTCCTCTATGCTCTAACTACGAAAATATTTGATTTACAAATAAGGAATCCTACTTCGCGGAATTTAATTTATCACGGTAGGGTCTAGAACCGATTAACCGCGATAAACGAGGGTTCACTGTACATACTTTTTTGGGGGGGCACCGGTCTGCCACACTCCGTTGTGTTGGGTCCCTTAGTGCTGTCCACCATCTGAAAGTGACCCATCCACTACGATGCCCAAGTGGAACTGTATGGCTGACAACAATTAGGGTCAAAGGGCAGGAGCCGGCTGGTTCTGCCCAGCACTTTGGACAGGAACCCATGGTCCTCATACCAGTCAGGCTCTGTGGCCCATTCTGCTGCCCCCTCCCCCTGCCTCCAGGGAAGTGCATTCTTTAAAAGGATTGTGATTATTGTCAAAAAATGATCTTCCAGCGCAGAATCACTGTTTCCAAGCACCTGGCTTGAAGGCAGTACTGCTGTTTTATGTTGTTAAAATTCCTGCAGGCCCGCATTCTCCTGGGGGGCGGGGAGTGTCCCGCGCCCCCCACCACCCAGTGCTCTACAGATTTGACTGAGGCTTTTGCCCTTCACAGTGTCTTAACTGTCCTCACCATTAAAGCGAGCTCATTATAGCTGACCGCCCCCACCCGCCACCTTCTCCCTTCGCAGGAACTACTTAACCGTGTCACTGAGGTGGTCAGCACTTGTGTCACCTGGCCAGGTAAGCCCTCCCAGGTGAGTGAGGTGAGAGGAAAGACAGCAGAGAACTTGTTCAGGGGGCCCCATGGGGACCTCTGGACACCCACTTTTCCCGTGTCCCTTCTGTGGTTACTCTTCTAGACAGGCTGCCCCCAGCACCACTGCCTTGAAGGCATTGACCCTGGAGCTCAGAATGGATGGGAGTGTATGAGGGAGGCCGAGGGCAGAGCAGGAGGCGCCAGCGGTGACCACAGCCCGGAGTCAAACAGACTAGGTTTCCCCCGGGGTTGCTGGGCCGTGCTGGTGAGAATAAGGACGGAGCCTTGCTGGCTGGGCTGGGTGCAGGGATGTAGGGACCACCAAGCAGGCAGTGGTCAGCCCCGCCTTCACCCACTCTGGTGCCCCACAGTGGGACTCCTGGCATGCTGGGGCTCCCACTGTCCCCAGTGTGGTGAGGAGGGAGGGTGAGGCTCAGGGACTTGTCACCTGCAGCGCTGGAACCCAGGATTACTGAGTGCCAGTGGGAGCCTGCTACTGAGTTCACCTGGGTGAGGGCCTGGCCCTGGGGTGGGGCTGAGGTCCTGAGGGGCTCTTAGGACCACTTCTCTGGGAGGCCCTGAGGAGCTTCTTCCAACAGGCACTCTGCCCTGACAGGTGTCTCAGGCAGGTGTCTCAGGCAGAGCGCCCCTTTGACAGTGAGGTCCCTTGGGAAGGCTTCAGTCCCTGTAGACAGACAACCACCACCCTCTTAGGCAGGGTCCCAGGGACTAGGGCCAGCCACTGCTGAACCGGGCTTGGCTGCATAGT